CAACCTTGACACAGCCATTACAATGCGATCTGCAGAGACTGAGTTGCAAAACACAACAGAACTACGCACAACGGCGTCGGAAATTGTAGCTCCAAAACCGGATCTCGACGCCAGAGCGAAAAAAAGACGATTTTGAAGCACTTTTTAACAGGATTTTTAGAAGGAAAATCACTAGCGCCAAAATGGAGAAAATCTGCTGACAAATCACTGTGGCAGCCTTCATGCAGCCACTCCAATACGATTTACGAAGTCGAGCTGCAAAAGACAATAGTATTACGAATGCAGCCACAGCACGAAGCAACCTTGACACAGCCATTACAATGCGGTCTGCAGAGACTGAGTTGCAAAACACAATAGAACTACGCACAACGGCGTCGGAAATTGTAGCTCCAAAACCGGATCTCGACGCCAGAGCGAAAAAAAAGACGATTTTGAAGCACTTTTTAAAAGGATTTTTAGAAGGAAAATCACTGGCGCCAAAATGGAGAAAATCTGCTAACAAATTTATTTCGCAGCCTTCATGCAGCCACTCCAATACGATTTACGCGATCGAGCTGCAAAAGACAATAGGATTACCAATGCAGCCACAGCACGAAGCAACCTTGACACAGCCATTACAATGCGATCTGCAGAGACTGAGTTGCAAAACACAACAGAACTACGCACAACGGCGTTGGAAATTGTAGCTCCAAAACCGGATCTCGACGCCAGAGCGAAAAAAAGACGATTTTGAAGCACTTTTTAAAAGAATTTTTAGAAGGAAAATCACTAGCGCCAAAATGGAGAAAATCTGCTGACAAATCACTGTCGCAGCCTTCATGCAGCCACTCCAATACGATTTACGAAGTCCAGCTGCAAAAGACAATAGTATGACAAATGCAGCCACAGCACGAAGCAACCTTGACGCAGCCATTACAATGCGATCTGCAGAGACTGAGTTGCGAAACACAACAGAACTACGCGCAACGGCGTCGGAAATTGTAGCTCCAAAACCGGATCTCGACGCCAGAGCGAAAAAAAGACGATTTTGAAGCACTTTTTAAAAGGATTTTTAGAAAGAATATCACTAGCGCCAAAATGGAGAAAATCTGCTGACAAATCACTGTGGCAGCCTTCATGCAGCCACTCCAATACGATTTACGCGATCGAGCTGCAAAAGACAATAGGATTACCAATGCAGCCACAGCACGAAGCAACCTTGACACAGCCATTACAATGCGATCTGCAGAGACTGAGTTGCAAAACACAACAGAATTACGCACAACTGCGTCGAAATTGTAGCTCCAAAACCGGATCTCGACGCCAGAGCGAAAAAAAGACGATTTTGAAGCACTTTTTAAAAGGATTTTGAGAAGGAAAATCACTAGCGCCAAAATGGAGAAAATCTGCTGACAAATCACTGTGGCAGGCTTCATGCAGCCACTCCAATACGATTTACGCGATCGAGCTGCAAAAGACAATAGGATTACCAATTGCAGCCACAGCACGAAGCAACCTTGACGCAACCACCCGACACTGCGGGATACAGTTGCAAAGCACAATGGAATTCCATCGGCAACTCATCCACCAGCAACACTTGCAATCCCATTTACAGTGAGGGAACGATCCTAGAGTTGCAAATCACAATGGAATTCCATCGGCAACTCATCCACCAGCACCACTTGCAATCCCATTTACATTGCGAGAACGACCCTACAGTTACAAATCACAATGGAATTCTGTCGACCGCACATACACGAAAAGCAGGTGAAACCCCATTTACAATGTGGAACCGATAATGGAGTCTGAAACAAATCGTTCCGAAATGTTAAGGTATTATATGACTGCTATGCATTTACTCCACTTTACAGACATCCTCAATGGCCAATGTGCCCAGAGCATCACCAAACGAAAGCGCCCACAGGGCGAGGCGCAAATGCGCGACAGGGTTTCTCAGGAAAAGACCAACAAGCCTGTGCCAAATGTGAGCGCCCCAGCCACTGACCCCAGAGGAGCTGAAGGCACGACCTACCGATGCAGGACAGGCGGATGAAGATGAGGAAGACCCTTGGGCTGCACTTGATCCCAATGAGCATTAAGGCCCATCAGCACCCCCAGCTCCCACTGCAAAAGCAGAAGCTTCACCAAAGGCCGCTTCAACTGGCGTGCCCCTTCCTGAAAACGAGCCCTCTGGAACAGTGTACCCGAAGAACAGCAAAGGCCAGCATGATCCGAACATCATCGCCCATGATCCGATCCGACCACACACGAGACCGTCTCGCAACCGTCGCACCGCAGAGGTAGATCATCGAGGTTCGGGGACGGACTTTGTATGGAAAAACATAGGGTTTCGTGCATCTGCTATCTCTCAAAAACGCATTTCGTGCGAGACTTCCTCCAAAACTCCATCGGCAACTCCTCCACCAGCACCACTGGCAATCCCATTTACAGTGAGGGAACGATCCTACAGTTGCAAATCACAATGGAATTCCATCGGCAACTCATCCACCAGCACCACTTGCAATCCCATTTACATTGCGGGAACGATCCTACAGTTACAAATCACAATGGAATTCTGTCGACCGCAAATGCACGAAACACAGGTGAAACCCCATTTACAATGCGGAACCGATCCGAGAATGATCCGAGAATGATCCGACCACACACGAGACCGTCTCGCAACCGTCGCACCGCAGAGGTAGATCATCGAGGTTCGGGGACGGACTTGGTATGGAAAAACATAGGGTTTCGTGCATCTGCTATCTCTCAAAAACGCATTTCGTGCGAGACTTCCTTCAAAACTCCATCGGCAACTCCTCCACCAGCACCACTTGCAATGCCATTTACATTGCGGGAACGATCCTACAGTTGCAAATCACAATGGAATTCTGTCGACCGCACATGCACGAAACACAGGTGAAACCCCATTTACAATGCGGAACCGATCCGAACATGATCCGAGCATGATCCGAACATAATCCGACCACACACGAGACCGTCTCGCAACCGTCGCACCGCAGAGGTAGATCATCGAGGTTCGGGGACGGACTTTGTATGGAAAAACATAGGGTTTCGTGCGTCTGCTATCTCTCAAAAACGCATTTCGTGCGAGACTTCCTTCAAAACTCCATCGGCAACTCCTCCACCAGCACCACTTGCAATCCCATTTACAGTGAGGGAACGATCCTTGAGTTGCAAATCACAATGGAATTCCATCGGCAACTCATCCACCAGCACCACTTGCAATCCCATTTACATTGCAGGAACGACCCTACAGTTACAAATCACAATGGAATTCTGTCGACCGCAAATGCACGAAACACAGGTGAAACCCCATTTACAATGCGGAACCGATCCGACATGATCCGAACATGATCCGACCGACCACACACGAGACCGTCTCGCAACCGTCGCACCGCAGAGGTAGATCATCGAGGTTCGGGGACGGACTTTGTATGGAAAAACATAGGGTTTCGTGCATCTGCTATCTCTCAAAAACGCATTTCGTGCGTGCGAGACTTCCTTCAAAACTCCATCGGCAACTCCTCCACCAGCACCACTTGCAATCCCATTTACAGTGAGGGAACGATCCTAGAGTTGCAAATCACAATGGAATTCCATCGGCAACTCATCCACCAGCACCACTTGCAATCCCATTTACATTGCAGGAACGACCCTACAGTTACAAATCACAATGGAATTCTGTCGACCGCAAATGCACGAAACACAGGTGAAACCCCATTTACAATGCGGAACCGATCCGACCATGATCCGAACATGATCCGCCCATGATCCGACCACACACGAGACCGTCTCGCAACCGTCGCACCGCAGAGGTAGATCATCGAGGTTCGGGGACGGACTTTGTATGGAAAAACATAGGGTTTCGTGCATCTGCTATCTCTCAAAAACGCATTTCGTGATTTTCGTGCGAGACTTCCTTCAAAACTCCATCGGCAACTCCTCCACCAGCACCACTTGCAATCCCATTTACAGTGAGGGAACGATCCTTGAGTTGCAAATCACAATGGAATTCCATCGGCAACTCATCCACCAGCACCACTTGCAATCCCATTTACATTGCAGGAACGACCCTGCAGGTACAAATCACAATGGAGTTCTGTCGACCGCACATGCACGAAACACAGGTGAAACCCCATTTACAATGCGGAACCGATCCGACCATGATCCGAGCATGATCCGCCCATGATCCGAACATGATCCGACCACACACGAGACCGATGGAAAGTTCACTGGAAACGGTGCTGTGTTCACCCTGTCCAGGGTTTGAAACACCATTTAGGCGAACTTCTGATCATAATAAAAAGGCTTGTTTCAACTCGAAAGCTTGAAGCAATTATATTTTTGCTTCAATGTATAAATGTCTCCAAGTTTTCAGGAAGATGTATAAATAAATAATTTCAATGTTTTTTTGCATTGGCTTGCATATAGAAATGTTTGGGCAGGCTCGGCTCTGCTCGCATCTACTGCCACTCATTAGCCACCACGGTCATGATCATGGCAGGTTTGGATTGTGCTATGACAAGCGATTGCTGAAGCAATGTCTAAATAGGTTGACGAACAAGAAGTGATGCAAGAACCACTGCAATCAAGTTTTTTTTTCTCCAACATTTTGTAGAAGTAGAATCGGGAGCTGGGTTGGCTCCGAAATCCAGATATAGGAGGCCTTGCATTTGAAAAGCCTAGCGACTTTTTCCCAATGACGATAGACTGGAATGTTTTTGGTTCCACATGCATCACCTTTAAGCCAGGAAGTGGAAGCCGCGATTTGATCCACACATCAAAGACAATCTTTCCGGAAATCTACTTGCTCACACTTGCAAATCTTTTGAAATCATCCAAGAAAATAAGGAGGAGCTTTGAGCGTCTATTGTATGGGAATCATGAATCATAAGGGACCGTTCACATGCACAGCTGGCGGCTCAGGCAGCACTCCGCACTTTTGCCTGTTTGTTCGCTGGTCGAAGCGATCATGACAATGAGTAATGGACCAATCTTCACTATTGAGCAGCTGGGGAGTTGTCCTTGGCAAAGTGTTCCGTGGCGAGCTGGAAGCGTACCGTGACACGCTCATCTGACGCAATGCAGTACACATCTAACTCAGCAAACCAGGCCCCGGGTGTGCTGCAGCTTAGCTCATAGTCTTGGACCACGTATAGCACCTGCCCGAAAGCAACAACTTGATGGCCACTCACATCAAGCATTTCGCAAGCACCCAGCCACATCAGGAGACGTTCAATTTTTGGATCAATGCACTCTGCAAGGAGTTCCCACTCCGTGGCTCCATCAGAGTAGACAATTTGGTAGACATAATCGTCGATGTTAGGAATGCCGTCCTCCCACGCAACGCCTGGACAGTGACCGAATCTGTGAGTATAATATTGAATGCCATTTAATACTTGTTTCTGTATTGTCAGTCTAGGAGCCCAATCGACTTTCATAGGTGGCCGCCATGGGAACCAGCGAACGGATTTATATTACTAGTGACCTGGGCCTAGAGAGCTGCATGTCAAAGATTTAGGCGATCAAACAAGGCTTGTTGGACATGGAGGAGCCAGAATGCGTCCTGCCCTTGAAGGAGCCATGAGGCATCCTGCAATGATATGACACCCCACCACATGAAAGGAGCTCAAAGCTGCCTACTGTGTCAGGAGCTAAGAAGCATCCTTCCAACACTGGCGACATACGTTTTTTTACCCAAGAGCGGATGGATTTCTCAGACGCGAGAGGCAGCAGCTCTGGTGGCGCGCCTAAGTTCCAAGCAGGCAAGCCGGCTCAAAATTCTGGGCAAACACAGCCCCCAGTTTTGCTCACAAAACCAATCGCCGCCGCCACAACAGAAAGCCAAACCTTGCCGCCAGAAGAAAGCATCAAGGCTCATCCCTGTGCTGTCGTGAGTTGCAGTCCTTGGCCAGGAGGAAGCACTATGACTATGGAATTTCTCAACCACAAGGATGGCTTGATTCCAGTGAGGCCTTGTGCTGCCCATCGGCTGGAAAAAACCACCCGCAGCTTCGTCATATCCCACTTGTCAACAGGAATCAATGCCGCCAAGGTCAGTGAGTTTTGCTTTTTCGAATCACCTTCAACAGACGCTCGCTCAGCTCTCCACGCCACTTCTCGGACCACCTTCACATCGAAATCGGCCGCACCATATCGCCCTTGGGGGTTTTCTACCAATTGGTGGTACCGAAGGACGGCTTTCTCTGGCTTCTGCTGCTTCATGTCATCAATCACCTGGAAGATCGTCTTGAGGTTGCCTTCCATGAGCACCACTTCCGAGCTGTCAGAAAAGCGCCACACCAGATCCACTGCCGAATCAAACTCATCTGTCACTTCCTTCGGCTGCCACCATTTGCCTTTTTGCCATCCTGTGATGTGGCCAGTCACAGCAATGTCTGCAGCAGTCGTGTTGATGAGGTAGACAATGTTTTCAGGATAAACCTGGAATGTCAAACCCTTCAGCTTGTTGCATCCTGGCGCTTGCAACAGCATCTTGGTCACATCCAGCTTGTCAATGGGCACTAGCGTTGAAAACGCCGCAGAAGGGTCAGTCAGCCCTTCCGGCTCAGATCGGCGCATTCTTTTCGAGCCTGGCTCTCCGAGACTTTTCTGCGGGAGGACTTGCTCTACCTCCTCAATCAGTGCTGCCCACTCTTTGAAAGAGCTCGAAGACCACTTGCCATGTAGGGTCTGTGGCAGTTTCAAGTTCACGCCATCCACCGTTCCAAGGTTCAACTTGGGCAGAGACACTTGCAGTTGTTCATCAGCAGCCATGGTCCCAGGCAAGGGCTCCATACCATTGATCTTCAAAGTTCTCCCAAGGAAGCGTTCCATGGCAATGTCATGGAGATCCGTCTTTGCCCATTCAAGTTGCGAATCTGGTCCCAGAGCGATGTAGTGCATCTTGACAGATGCTGTCGGCATCTTCAACACAGCGCGGGCAAGGTCGCCAGTCTTGGGGCTGAGATCTACAATGGCAACGCACGGCCCCAACCCGGACGGAAGCGTTGCAAAAGTGGAGCTCAGAAGAATTTCCGCAGCCACATCTCCAATCTGAGCATATTTCTCAGCAGGATTCAAACGCTGTTCCACATCTGAAGTTGGGAGATCATCTTCATACTCTGGCATTCTCATATCCCGGACTTGCAACATTGTTGCTCTGGCATTTGTTCTGTTGTTCAGAAAGAGCGCGGACTTTTGCCAAGCAGACTGTGGCTCATTTTTTGCTTTCATGGGGAAAGCCAACCGCAGAGGATACTCCAGAGGCCGACGATCGCGAGGATCCGCTCTGTCCTGCGATAAATATGTTTGAACAAAAACTTTCTTTGAATTAGCAGCAGTTACCCAAAAATGACAGACAAACGAAATCGTCCTCAAAACTCAAGGATGCTTTGTCATCGGTGTTGACATCTCTTTCACTCAAATTCTTGAGGAGCAAGCTCTCGCTCTTGTGCATGGAGCCCTTGGAGCGTTCCCAGACCGGCATCAGAATCAGACCCATGGCATCAAAATCATCATGGCTCAGACAGGAATGCAGGGCTTGGATCTGCAGCGCCATCTGCTCCTCCCACACGATGGATGGTGATGCCCAGTTCACTACTACCAATACCAGGAGTGGCTGCTGCAAACGGTATTCGCGTTTCAGCATGCACAAGTTGGCAAGCATCGTCTCTACAGAAGTCACGAAGCTGAACATAGCACACGGCCCTGCAAACAGCGTCGCAGTGGATTCCTTGCCATGCAGCCGACGCTTTCTCTGGTGATCCATCTTGGCATGGTAGATCAAGCTCTCATGTGATTCCTGCTTGGATCTGAAAATGAGCACAGCTTGGATGTCACTTTTCAACTTCTGAGACACCAGCTCAAATTCCGCCTTCTCAAACTTGGCAGCTTCAATCTCGGTCCGGGCATGGCCCACCACCGCCAGGTCAGTGCAGGTGGTAGCTTCTTTCTGCAATTCGCGCAAGCATTTCCTGTGATTTGGTTTGATGCTGGTGCCTCTATCAAAGATCAAACTTAACAATATCTTCAAGGTGAAAAAAGGGGACAATCATAACATTTTGGCGGACAGGGAACACATCGGACCATTGGATGTCATGCTTTCTTTCGTGCAAGAGGCTCTGGACATCCAGCGTCATAGCTACATCGCCGTTCCTGAATTTGTCTGACAGCGAGGCCAGCTTCTCTTTGTCAACTGCATTTTCCATGGCGCCTTGGGTGGCCCAGCACCAAAATGAGCACATCTGGGCGTGCTCCTCGAGGCGGCATTTGTCCAGTGGCCTTCTGCATCTGGAGCTCTTCGAAAGCTGCTGCATGTTCAATGACTCCACAAAAACAGAGAAGCTTATCTCTGTCACTGCAAGAATCTGGTTCCACTGGCGCAAATTGGTGCGCGGTGCCCAGCCGGGGAGAAGTTTTTTGTTGCAAAACGAGTCCTCGTGCCACCACACAGCCTTGTTACCTAACTGGCTCAAGAGCTTCACCATGCTGTCCACACCGTTTTTGCATGAGCCTTGTAGTAGATTCAGTGCAGAGACTCGTCTTTGGCCGGTGACCTTTCCTTTGGCCGACGCATTGCTGTTGAAAGCTTCAAGAATCTGAGTCGGCGTTTTTCCTGCACCTGCCTGGTCCAGCAGCATCAATTTTGTCACCCAGGTGAGGACGTCGTGCGGCGCCCTGATGGCACCCCTGTTGGAGGCATGTGCATTCGCTATGGCGACCGACATCAAGTCTGGGTGGGATTCAAATAAGCCGTGAATCACCTGTACTGTCTGGTAGAGGTGCGGAAAGTGGGCCATGACATCAATCTTCAAGTCTGCCATACGAGCCAAAAGCCACAGCAGGGTTGAGCAGCGCGCCATGCCCTTGACATAGCGGATCTCAAAATCTGCTTGCGACAACTCTCTGTCGTCTGGGCTGCTCCAGAGAAGCAAAGGCTCAGCCTCAGTCAGGAAGCCATGCACAAGGTATTCATCCAGAAGATCTTTGCACGTACAGCGGTATGGAAAGCCTTTGGTGGATCTTTCCGGCTGGAAGGAGAGCATGGCGACATGCACATGGCATCTCTGCTTACTTTTGCCTAAGACCGCAGGCTGCACATAGTCAATGGAAGCCATCATGGGAAACTCTTGTTCCAATCCAGCTCGGAATAATTTCCGATCTTCTTCTTTGGGGAAGCGGTGCAGCAGCCACTGCGCGGGCCCTCCACATTCATCACAGGCGGTGTCAAACGCTTCCAGCAAGTGTTGCTTCAAAACAGCTCGGTCCGTGACATCCGACAAGTTGTCGGGTACCTTGACAGGCTCGGCAAGCATCTCCTGCGCTTCCTCTGGTGTGTCAAACACAGGACTCTCTGACTTTGCCATCATCTCCTGGTCTTCTTCCTTTGCTTTGATGCGTTCATCTTCTTCAATTTTCGCCATAGCTCCTCTGAATAGAGACTTGGCAGAGTGAGAGAGGGATGGCGGGTGCACAGATGCTGATGTGCCAAATGGCTGAACAGAAGGCAGGAATTGCAGATGATACCTTTTAAGGAGCAAACATGCGTCCTGCAATACATGGACCTGGAGGCGCGATGAAAGCAGCCTGCACAATCAAAGGAGCAATGAACTGCATCCTGCCAAAAAAAAAAAGGAGCTGAAAAGCATCCTGCAAGTAGGAAGAGCTTCAGTTCCCATGAAAACACATCCGAATGTTTCAAAATAGATGATTTCCGATTGATTGCCTGAGCCGCTGCTTTTTTTCGGAGCACTCAAAGGCAGTAGTCTTTCCAGTTCTATATAGGCACATAGCCCGGGCCTTCACTCGGGCTTGCGCACCTTGTAGCATTTCAGCCGCCAGCCCCCCTTCCTCAGTGACCGACAATGACACGGGCAGGCAGTGGCTATGAACTGGAGAAGTTGAAGAGTGACAGATCAACCTTGTTTTTTGCGTCCAAGCGTCATGCGGCTGTCATCGCGCCACCCGTGCCACCAGAAGGCGGCGGCCCAGGTCCAGGCCCCTTACTTCTGTCATCGCCAGGATCATCTGGCTTTGGAGGGAAGTCTTCAGGGTGGCGCTCTCGCCAGTACTCATTGCGGGCTCGCTTGGCACCCCTTGTCCCACGACGGCGTCGGCGGGAGCGATGGCGGCCTCACTTGTTCTGCTATTCCGGCGCATGCAATTTTATTCAAACCTGGGTTACTACCCTTCCAAACAAGTCAAAAAAAGCATGCCCACTGCAGCAAGTCACTTCTGGAACGCTTCTTATGTCCTGGCTCCTTTCGTCGTCGACGAGGATCTTCCAGGGGACCAGCAGCAGCAGACGGTTACATAGACGAGGCTGATCCTGGAGGCGGTGCCTTGGGTCTGGACGCGGGGGCAGCAGCCTTCGACCACGCAGCAGGGGCAGTGGAATACCTATTCACACTTGTAACTCGCCCAGGTGCTGGAGGGGGTGGTGGACCTGCATCATCATCATCATCCTCATCCTCATGGTCATCGTTCGATGAATCAGACGTCTCAGCTGTCGCCGGGCCCGTAGGTCGGCTGCTAGCCGGCTTTCCTTCGGCAGCTCGACGTCGTTCAGACTCAGCATCAAAAGCTGCAGCAGCACCAGGATCTGACCTAAGGGGAAGTCTTTTTGCTCCTGGCAATGTTGGCTCAGGCTCCACTAGGACTTCTTCCATCTCGTCGTCGCCAGCAGCAGCGGGAGCAGCAGCGGGAGCAGCAGGCGGCCTACGTGGCGGCGTGCGTGGCCGCAGGTGTCCATGAGGGCTCGAAGCCACAGTCACACTCTCAGTGGAGGCAGTATCCCCTGGGGTTGAAACGCCGTGGGCAGCCACATGGCTAGGCGGGGAAACCATGGGTGGCGGAACGTGATGATGAGGTGGGTGACATTGGGATGGCATCGGAGCTGGAGCATGGCCATGAGGTGGATGTCCAGAAGGGCAAGGCATAGGTGGCGGGGCATGACCATGGTGAGGCATTGCCATTGCCACCGGCCGCAGGCCCTCTGCAGGCGCAACATGGACCTGCTGCATGGTCATGGTCAAGCCACCGGCTGATGGTGGCGGCATGAGCATGCCTGGCCCAGGCATCCCTGGCCCTGGGAGCATCGGCCGCATAGGAGGGCGGCAGCCTCCTGCCCCACAGCCAGCATGGCCTTGCGCAGCTGCGAGCATCTGCATCATGAGCTGCTGGTTCATCTGATGCTGGGCTTCGCGCTGTTCATCATCTTCCAGCACTTCCACAAGGCTTCGCGCCAAGTAACCAAGCGCTCTGCGCGACGACATGTCTCCCCACACGCCGCGGCTTATTGTACGTTGCCTTTTGAAAAATGATGTCGTTGTCATGTTTTCTGCTCGTTTTCTGTCACTCCATGACATGTGGTTTCTGCTCGTTTTCTGTCAGTCCATGACATGTGTCCAGAAGCTTGTGAGCCACTGTCTGCAGGGAGAAGACCATATTTTGCGCAGAGAAGTGTACCTTTAATTGAATATCAGGGGTCCACATGTTTTTTTGTGTGTGTCAAACCATTAAATGATTTCATTTCGCAAGCTATATTTTTAGGAGAATGCAGCGAAAGCTTCTACAAAATTTTCGTACTAGACTTCACAGCAGTTCGCCAGAAACGCTGCGATGTCAATTTTGTTGCACCATTTTGCAGAGATGTCATGTACATATTTTGCATCATGCACTTCGCTGCAATTTGTAGTTTTTAATTTGCCATCACAGCAGTTCGCCAGAAACGCTGCGATCTCTGGTGCGTGGCGGAGGTGTTTGACTTCGCAGCAATTATGATGTTTTTGTTTGTCATTCATTTTTTGTTATCTAGATTTGAAAATGTCAATTGTTCTTATCTTTTGCTTGGTAGATGTATCGGTGGGAATACATGTGTGCGATTTGGTAAGGTGCGTAGCGCAGCCTGCGCAAGATGTCACGGAGCTGGTCAGCATCCTGCCGAACATGACGGAGCCACAGGCATCCTGCAAAGGCGCACTGGTTGCATCCTGCACTACCCAGGAGCAATCTTGCTTCCTGCAATAATTTTGACTGCTACTCATGTCAGCATGGCAATCATGTGATCAATATGTGATCATAGCACAAAGTTGAGAAAGAGACGTCAATGTTTGCTGTGACAGTTTCTGATGCCCTTTTTTTGGCCTGCGCAACTGTGTCTCTTAGTCCAGCATTTCTACACTGATTTCTGCTCGGATGGCAGACAGCATCGCATTAACCATCTCCTGCGGGTAAGATTCGCAGTGAGATGAGAGCTGCACCCCGGCCTCAGAACCTTGTATTTGCCGATGATCGGTGGAGCATGTGCAGAAAGCATTTCCAAAAACCCGGTCAATGTCTGGCAAGTTGTGCACGAAGCGAGTACGTTTCCTGATAGGCTCACCTGTGCCAGGGCATACTAGTCCGAACCTGCATTGGTCGAATCGGCTGACAAGGACCCCATCTTGTCCGCAGAGGCGTCGAAGAGCACCTGTCTCCCAACTGCTGGCTCCATCTGGGTGCTCAAACAGGAAGTGGAGATTTTGCCGTCGCTGATATTCAGCAATTTCAACAGCGAAATAGAGCAGGCGATCAGCTTCCTCTCGGCGTCTTTGATATTTGTCTTCTCCCATCGCTCTGCGGCACCACAAGTGCATCAATGCTGAATACAGGGTACAGGGAGGAGAGAGTATGAAGACACGGGGCTGGTAGAGTCTGATATGAGACCATACAGATGCACGGCCGTTCACACCGCCCAAATCCAACTCTTCATCGTCTTTCACATCAAAGGACTCTCCTCCAACTAAACTAAAATATTGGCACCGTGGAACCAGTCTGGGTCTGCTGAAGAGCTCCGAGACATCAACCACGTCATGGGAATTGATTTCAATTGTTGCATTCACACGCTCGACTGAGACGTTGTCACTCATGGCTCCTGACTGTGCAAGATGTGAAGGATGCAAACCCTAGCAACATTGAGCCACAAGCCATCGCCGACAGAAGGCACTGATGTGGCACCCGAGTGACTGCCATGCGAAAGGCTGGCTTTATGCGGATTCAAGTCCCATCTTCCCAACCATGCACAGGAATTGTTTTTGTCTTTCGACTTTCGGCTTGTTTGTGTGACACAATCATCTATAAGGCTTTGCAGCACAACCCCAAAATCACCCACAACGTCCTTTGAACACATAATCTATCTAAGCTCCGATCTCAAATGTCAAACCTGTTTCAGATTATTATATATAATGAAGGCATTCTCGACAAGTTATTTCTGCATGATGCACAAATAGTTTCAAAGGACATTGTGTCATGGTTCCCGTATTTATGCTGCCGGGGCCAATTAGAGTTGACAGGAAAGTGCTAACTACTGTCCGCTGCCACCAGGATGAATTGATGAAAAAAAACACATTGACGACATCCTGAGTGAATCTCCACTGTCACGTGGCAGCGAATCGCTCAGTCAGTAAGCTGACATTTCTACTCAATAGCAGATGATGCCGGTCCATCATCAGACTTCAAAATCCACACGCCCTTCTTCTCACTTTCGATCAGACCAGCTTTCGGCCGGCAAGTAGTGCATCCCACTTCGCACCTGTTACACTTGGAACACCCCAGTTTGATGCCCGGCGGGACGCTGATGCGACGGCGCTTTGTGGTAGGCTCGCCTGGTTGTGCTGCTGCTGCTGCTGCTGATTCAGCAGGCGCAGGCGCTGCCGCTGCCTCAGCGCTGGGATGCGCAGCATGGGCTGCCTCGCCACTGCTTGCAGCCGCCGGAACAGATTCACCACGGCCACGCCCACGGCCTTGGCCACGACCTCGTCCACGGGTTGCCTTGGGAGCTGCTGCTGCCTTGACCTTGGCCTCAGGCTCCACTGCCGGCTGCGGAGCTGCTGGATGTTGGCCGGGCGGAGCCCCTTTCTCAATGGCATGGTGCCCAGGCGGTGCTCCCTGCACGTTGGCTTCTGGCTTTGCGTTCTTTTTGGCTGGCTTGGCATCCTTCACAACAGTGATGTCCAAAGGTGATGTGAAGGCAAAGCCCAGATCCAGCTGATCAGCCAATCCTTCCACACAAACCTTTCCTTCGTCCGTGTCAATCTGGAAGACCCACTTCACAGGAGGCAAAACCCAAGAAGGCGAGGATCCCTGCTGGTTGTTGCGAACCTAAGTAACATGGAAAGGTTGAATTCTTTACAGAGGGTGACCAACAGCTGTGTTGACTGCAGTCTACACTACAACATATAAAGACCACATTCCATATCTAAAACATGTTGTCATTCATGGCCACATGCACCCTTCAGGAGCTGATGAGCATCCTGCAATCCACCCTGAGGAGCTGATGAGCATCCTGCAACCACATGATCAGGAGCTGGCAAGAGCATCCTGCAATAGGAGCATATGTTGCTCCTGCGACTGATAGACCCTATAAAATGCTGGAACATGCGGAAAGCATGAATGAATACAGGCGCATATGTTTTAAGGCGCAAATGTGCATCCTGCAAACCGTTGAAAAAAGCAGACATAGAGTTTCATCAGATCACAGCAGTAAGATATAATGTTACAACCAAGGCGCCAAATTTTGCAGGTAGAGAGCAGAATCTTTGTATTTCCAAGACTCCATGAGGGAAGCAGTTTTCAAGAATTCTTTCGCTTGGCGCTCACTGAAGCAGTGTCGAGGGATGGGTTCTGGCATTGGTTTGGGAGATAGCTTCGAAACCAGTTCCCAAGGCATGTAGAGCATCGGTTTCTGGCTCAGCTGAGACGAAGCCATATATTGCTTCGAGAACAGGATCACGTCTCTGGGATGGGCCTCCAGGTGCGAAAGGAAAGGAGCAGTAACGACCAAAGATCGCCACTTTTCCGGCAAGCACTCCCTCCGGACCAGCTTGTACGAGTGACATGCCTCCAAATTTTGCTTCGTGGCCTCCTTTGTCTGATTGAATCCAGTGATCCGGGTCCCAACAGGAAACAACCAAGCCTGAAAGTCCATGGCTGCTTGCTCCACATGGTAATCCATCAAATTGAATTCGATCCTTTCCTTGAAGGCTTGCGGATCCTGGAGTGTCTGCGCCTTGGACAACACTGTCGCCACATGGCTGAAGCTAGCATCCTGGCGGTTGTGGGTATGACCTACACGGCCTTGACAAAAGACGGCCGAATTCACTCTGCCGCGGGCTGTCAAGATGCCCAAAAGCTTCAGAAAAGTGTTGTTTTTGCTGTCGGACGTGGCGTTGTCACTGACACAGCGAAAATGCAACGGCATATCCACACCACGATCAGCCAGGCGCTCAGCCACCACCTGACCAAAAGCAGTACAAGCAAAATCTGAAGATTGCTCGACAGGCTTTTGCAATGACAATCACCTTGGGACCACACAAAGAACAACAAAGAGACCCGATTCAGCCTCTAACGCACGGCACGTCACTGTGCACTGAACGTCTGCACCTTTTCCGACATCCATATCTGCCAGAAAAAGCATTTTGCCAACTCCGTCAATGATGATGCCATGAGCTGCCAGTTGAGGGCGCCAGGAATCGGCGAGAACCTTGGCCATCGAGACGTGCCTTGGGCATCGGAACTTCGCCTGATCCATCGAGTCTTGGGTCCAGGACAGCAAAGCTCGCTCCCTATTAGGAATTTTCGGGACACCGCCACAGACCTGCACCGAATCAGCTCCCAATTGCTGCGCCAAGGCATCACAGTTGCGATCCAGCATCACGCTCTTGACATGACCAGAGTGCGCTTCTTGGACTTGCTTCTCCTGTGTTGATGTGGTGACTTGCTTTCTCAACATCTTCAGCCGCTCACATGTGCTGCATTTGCCATGGTGTTGCGAGTCAGCTATGCGCAGCTTGTCCTGCCATGTTGACTTCATGTAGATGCGGCGGAAAGAGCTCAAGTGAACTGGATCTTCGCTCCAGTTCACATACATCTCATAGAATTCCTGGAAGGTTTGATGAGGCAGGAACCGTCGAGATTCCACAGCAAGGGCGGCATCAGCTCCAAGTAATGGTTCCGGAACACCGTCCATCTGCCCCTGACTCTCATCGGAAGCAACGACATGATCGCACAGACCCAAAGGCAAAGGTCGCGGCTGCAGGTCCTGGTTCTCAGTGGGAAAGGCCGACCCTTCTTCTGTTGGAATATGCTTTGCCCAGTTGGCCCAAGCATGGTAGCAGAACTTGTTGACATCTTGCTGACCAGCGGTGAGGCTCACAGATCTGGGATGACACTGCATCCCCTTCTTACGGCCATCTGCAGGTGGGCCATCGCAATGCACAGCCTCCTGCAAAGCATGCAAAGTTCCACTGCCCACCAGGTGAGCCTTCTGCCAAATCTTTCTGCAAACAGGACTCTCGTTGATCAGATAGGTTCCTTTCGGAATTTGCTTGACCACACGAAGCTCCCGAAGACTAAGCCACACCCGGCGCCGGCGCACTTCCGGCTCACAAGCAAGCAGCCCTTCGCGAAGCACCTTGCAGCCGGTCTCGATGTCTGAGTTTGGCGGCACGCATGGACCATCTTTGCAATGGCAATGCCACGACACAACGTGGTCCTGCTCGCCCAAACCTTCAGAAGCGAGCGAAGGCAGGCTGCCATCAGAGCCGACATCAGACTCTGTCGGCAAATCGTCACCCATGGCCACAGACTGGTTCTCTCCCATCGCCAGAGAGCGTGAGCGTGAGCCGAAAGAGCTACATCATGGCAAACAAGGATTTACAACATCGTCAAGAAGAAAGCGAAAAGCAATCTCTGCGGTCCAACCACATCCTCTCAAAATCCTATCACGGCATCAATTGACTTGGAAGAGATTTTGTGTTTGACGATCCAGAAAGACAATGACCTGGTGAAAAAAAATGTACAAAACTAATACAAACAAGCATAACTAATTAATATCTGGCTACAAATATCTTCTATCACTCTGCGGCTTGTTGTATTGTCACATCAAGCAGCCAAGCCATCACAAAGCAATTTTGTCAAGCCCGAGGTGAAAGTGCCTCTTTTTTGCCTCGCTCAGGCACAGCATGCTGACAATGCTAGCAGCTTCTTTGGGCTGTGAGCTATAACCGGTGGATACCCCTGCCCAGTCAGTCAGCCGCTCACATTTTCATGGTTCTGTTGACTCGGTCCGGCAATGATCTCTCGTCAGCTTGAACCTGACTACCATCTGCTCTTGCTCCCAAATGCCCCAAACTTGAAGCTCTGCCATCCATGGTCCGCTTTGGCTCAAAGAGTAGTCTCGCACTTCAAAGACCAGCTCCTCGAAGCATTGGACATCTCTGTCACCCGCAAAAAAGATTACGTAGTTTGCCATCCACCTCAGCAAACTTTCCATGCGCGCATCCGAGGTGGGATCGCTGAGGGCCAGCCATAGCCCAGTGCCACTAAAAGGGCTTTCCTTCTGGTACATGTACTCGTCCAAATCGGGCACGCCAAGAGGCCAGTCCATACCTGGGAGATTCAATTTTAACATTCCAAACTATGTTGTAACATGTTTTAATTCAACATATCACGAGTACAGATCCATGAAAACAAGCCGCCCATGCGATACGCATACTTGCTTTGCGCCATGGTGGTCACAGAAAGCAGCAGTGTTTTTTTAGTTGAACCGACTTGACCCAGAAAATGCCAACCTCGAACAAACGATCACCAAAAAGTCACCACGGAGTTCAAAAAACATCCTGCCGGAGGATCCAAAAGGAGCTGACAGCATCCTACACAAAGGAGCCATCAAGGCATCCTGCCCAAGAGGAGTTCAGTAGCTCCTGCATTTGAAAGGATTAAAAAACTTCATGCATTCTGATGGGACATGAACGAATTGACTTCATCCTTCCCTTGCGCAAAATTTTCTTCTTTTTTTGCAATCAGTTTCACTGCAATTGGTCAACATAATTTACCGGCGCTCATAGCCTACCAGCACGCTCCGTTGTGTTCGCTACATTCCCTCAGGGTTGCGGTGGCTAACTGCAGGCATTCAGTCAGCCAATCAAAGCTAAATGTCAGCTGCACGCCAATCTACAGCTTGCTCAATCCCAGCAGCCCACGAGAAAGAATCCAGTGACGGTCAGGGGATTGGCCTTTTCACTTCCTTCAATTCTCTGCCCACGAAACAAGGTACTGTTTCACTTCCAGGCTGAAGTTGCCAGGGCCCTGTGCTGCTTCTGAGATCGTTCGATGAGGCTATGGTACCTGGCATGTGCGTGGAAGCATTCATCGCCTGCCCGACAGGACTGTGCGAGAGATAGCCAAAGTTTTCCTGCATTCTTGTTCGCAGTGGAAAACCAGTTCCTGGCAATGGCATCTGTAATAACCGTTACCAAGGAGGACTGTTCCTAATCATTATGTTACCGGTGCCTTGTATGTCGCCGGTGCCTTGTATGTTGCCGGTGCCATTTGGCACGCCCACCCACCCCAGTGACACCAGCAACATATATGTTTTCGGTCCCAGGTTTGTAGGCCAGCTTGTGTATCTTGGCTTGCACAAAAGTACAATATAGCTTGCAGTGCAACGCAGCATTGCAAGATTGGATTGGAATAGGAATTGGATAACTGGAGCGCTGCTCGTCCCACAAAAGCATGGGCTAGAAAAGGGCAAAGCATAGCTTGCATCGTTCACTTCACTGAAAAGACTGGAGAAAGGTGCATATATTAGCCTGTGCCCCTTGTATAATCCTTGACATATCACCTAAACAGGACACACACCGTATATAGGTGTATATATATATACATATGTATATATGTATATATGTGTTTAAATATTATTTTACATTACATATATATATAATAATAAAAATATCAATATATTATATGTGTAAATAAAATATATACGCATGATTTTCTTCGTATACTCTCTCTCTCTCTCTCCATCTCTCTCTCTCTCTCACTCTCTCTCTCTCTCTCTCTCTCCCCTCCCCTCCCCTCCCCTCCTCTCCTCTCTGTGCATCTGTTAAAAGCGAAAAATCTGGAGACCCTCATGCAATCAATCAGCCTTTCCCAGCTGACTTTCAAACTGCACACGTTCAAACGCGTTTTTTTTTCACTCGATCATGCCGGACCATCGTAGCGTTGCAGCTACCGCATATCGAAACAAGACATGCTTTGAAGCATATCGAGGAGTTGCAGCACATGCCATCCTCTTTATTCGTCTTATCATATCTTCATCCAGGTAGTTACTCATGTACCTCAAATTTTTCCTTTCAAAGTCATACACAGCATGTTCTAGATAGTGGCTCTTTGGCCGAACATGCCAACGGGGCTGACCCAAGGACACTGCCAAATTGGCTAAGTGCAAAGACCCCGCTCTGTAACACAAATAGCCTTCCTCCAATCTTTTCCAGGCAGAAAGGGAATAGCGACGGCCACTCTCCAAACAGACAATTTCCATCTCGCGTAGCCCGCATGCCACACCAGCCCGGTACCTTAAGGGCAGGGATTTTTGAGCGCAAAAATTGCATGGCACGTGCACGATCATATCATGAAATGTTGCGTTTTTTCCACCAAAAAAATGTTGTTATGGTCAAACCAAAGTGCATGTCGGAAACTGAGCCATAGATTGTTGCGAAGTGTTGGGCCACACTAGCCAGCCAGAATATCATATATCTACACGCGCTCGCGTTCAGAATTTTTTGTGATATCTCTACAAATTTGTCACTGTCGGGCTTGAGGGTCTGCACACTAAAAAGCCTGCGCTGGGCACGTTCTGTGATACTCTGATCCTCACAGTATGCTCTGTAGTTTTCCCACAAAGTTTGTAGACGAGCATCCCGGGAAGAACCATGAAGATACTGAGTGTTTGGGTCACTCCAATCCAAAAGACAAGATATGATGGCATCGGGGGCAAGTGCCAAATGCACCAAGTGCATTTGGTCCGGTAAAATTCCTTGTGGGTCAGTCAAATTTCTTTCACAAAAAATGAAATCCCATTTGATTTTTGTCGAACGCGAAGATGTAAACCAGAATCGCTCTCTTCCCCAAAATCTTCAACACCGGGATCAAAAACAGATTTCACCGCATTAGTTAACCAAGAGTCGCCATGGTGACCACCCTGGGACACTGCACAACGGCGAATGTGTGTTGACAGCTAGCCATTCGTCAAGAGTCACTAGCCTGAGCGGTCGCGTGGCAGCCCCTCTCAGAAACAAAGCGTAGGGCTGGGCGATATATATATATATATAAGTGATAAATATAAACAGATAGATAATGATAGATCGATAGCCAGATAGACAGATAGATTTTTATTAATATATATATAATATATATATGTACATATAATGTATATACGGTGTGTGTCGCGCTTGGTAAAAATTACCCTTGTTTTCAGTTTGAACTAATAGAGGGTAAACCATTCTACTTCGAAATGCGCCAGTTTCAGGCAATCCCATTAAAGATATATGTGTTTACACCACACCCCAAGAAACAACACCCTTAAGTATGGACCTTTTCATCACAACACTGGTTGGCTCACCTTATTGACTGGGGTCCCCATGATTTCTTCTTTGGATTTTGGTTGGATGAATCCAGGGCACGTGGTTCTGTGGGCCGCATTCACCCCAAAGTTGGTGTAAAGAAATTCAGATTCCCGTGGGTCGTGACCAACATAGTTCCAAGCAAGGGCCCTGCAGTAGTAGCAACATAGTTGTCTCGAAAAGAAACCTTAGATCATCGGTGAAAAAAAATTGGATGAGGCTACCAGCTAAGGGACCAGAAAAGAACAATCAACAATTTGATTTCAGACACACAAAACAGCCTGGAAACGAGATGGTGACATCATGGTGCGGATGTAATCCTGGTCACCCTGTATCCCCTCCAAACATCCATGAAATGGCCCAGCAATCCTTTGGCCTGCCACACGCCAACGGTCTTTGCAGTACTCCTGGCTGAACTTTTTGCCCCAGGGATCGGCTTGTGGAAAGAAACCATCACCTGAATCGGGCATTGCGGAGAGTATAGATCGGGCTATTCCATGTTTGGAACAAATTGCCCCTGGTAAAAAAATATTACTATGAATCGTAATATATATGATAATGTATTTATATATACGCATAATTTGGTGAACCCTATAGTTAGCCATTTTGTTTTTGGGATTCATTACTGGGCCTACCAGATTTGTTTTTTTTGAATGGTAACTTAATTATTGGGAATGTTGGGTTTCCACATTACATTTTTTAACATCAATCTGAAAAGGGAATCAGGTTTGTTGCTTTCTTGCAACATATGGGGTGCTGAATCCAAGTTGCACAAGCATTGAAAACTCCAAGTGATCGCTTCAAGGATTTTTCTCCTCGAAAGATGATTGCAGTATGTAGCGCTCATGCAGGAGAGCCTGAAAGCAGCAAACGGTTTGGTTACAAATGTTGGTAATGAAGGGCTACCAGCAACCAGCTTTAACAGAACATACCATCTTAGAGCCATGGGGCATAATCCTCGTGTCCATGGTCGATGATGATGAGGCCAGGGGCAAAATCATACTGATGAGCTCAAATTTCTGTTTTCCTTGGCGCAAGAGGCAAAGCATTTATCTATTTTTTGGGTTTTTTCGTATTCGCCACAAAATTGCTGGATCGAAGCCGTACATTACCACCATGCATGTATAGATGTAAATACATATATGTATATACAAATATATAGGAACCAATTAGTCCATTGAATGTATATACCAAAGGAAGTAAACATAAAAGATAGATAGGTAGAGATGTATATATATATATATTTTTGTTTTTAAATGTAGGGCTACACTCAAGTGTCCCCATTTTAAAGCAAAGGGGCTTTGGGATTCCGCTCCATCACCGAAAAGTCGTAGGGGCAAAACAAAGGCTGGGTCCACCACCTAGTCATGTGGTTCGGGTTTCCTTTTTGATTTGTGATGGTAATGGATCATTCAAAAGAAAATCACCGACCAACAGAATTGGAGCCACCTGGAAAAGCGGGTGGTTCTGGTACCACTCGGTGTGCCTTTCTTCATGCCAAAACTTTGCCAGCTCCTTGGCCGACGCAGGTGCTGTGAAGGATGCGCAGATACACTACAATGATTCGAAGGCAGTGCATGGCCCCAGTGAGGTAATGCGGATCCACTTTATTAAATCGCAGGTATATGACATAATTTGAGGACTACATAAAAGAACATCCACCATGATGCATTTTAAATTTAGACAGAGCGTCTCCAGGTTGACCGGTCAGGCCAATCATCAAATCTCTTGGTTGGAAGCGGTAAAAGGCAGCCACAATTTCATGGGGAAGTAACATACTATGGATGCATTCGGTTCGCCGTTCTCCCCAAGCATCCGCGTAGCACATCGGCACTGGAAACCTCACTTTCCCAAATGTGTTCATTGAGATGGTGTTGTAATCATACCCTTTTGATTTTTTAGATTTTTGTTTGCAATCAAGGCTCTCAAACGGTAAAGGGAGTGCCTTGCCTGAGCCATGTCTGTTGTTTACAGTGCATCATTTTCAAGATCTTGGGGTTCCTTTTTTTTACCACTGGTTGGAAGAAAGTTTAAAGACCACCCTGCCACCCAGCCACGCCAAGGTTGACTATGAGTCCACCTTTCGAGGATTCGTCCAGGTCCCCAGGATCCGGTTCGAGATTGGAGGGATTCGATCAGCTTCAGCACGGAAGCCCTGAGCGAGGCCAATAAGTTCAAACAATTTTTCTTTCAGGCAATTGAAAGACCATAGATGGCATATTTCTTTTGATTTGTGCCGAGTTGCGGCACTAGTGGGTGAGGAAGCTGCTCTAATCGACCTTGATCGAGCCGAACAAGTACATAGAGCAAAATTCTTGAGTCAAGACCCCAAAAATGTGTTAAAAGGAAAATAGATAGGGTAATGATTGTGTGGACTTAGGATTTTCTGATATGGGTTTCAAGATATTTTAAAGAATTGAGGTCTGAGCATAAAAGGGACTGTATCCTTCTCATTTGAACCTGTGGCAGATGAGTTGACGAGACAGTTGAATCAACTACCACGCAACAGGTTTCAAAAACATCCAAAGAATTATGCCAGGCCTCCCCATCGCCCAACATCTCAAAAAATTCTTCAACCAGGCCATGGATAGTCGACTCAAGTGCTTCATGCACCGGGCTCGCTACAGTAGAAGTCATGCATGTTCCCTTTGGAAAATTAATTAAGCTTCAAATGCAGCGGGAATTGTTGTTGCAGATATGCAGGGACCTTTTGATCATCACAGAGTATATGGGTGCAGCCACCAACTTTGGCCAATGTATGCATGCAGGCAATCTCAAGATCCCTTTGTTTGCTCCAGCTAGGACAGGATGATAAATCGCAAATCGCCAGCGGTCCCTCAAATCAAGAGGCCCCCACTCAAATCAGTGAACCAACAAACATATGGACAAAAGCCCGAATGATTTTCAACCACTATATTTTTTTTGTTGTAATGAAATTGTGGGGACCCCACTGAACTAACTATGGGACACACACCGACCCCCATGGTGGTACACCAGCATAAGCAGTGCACCCTGCCCACATGGCGTTTTGTGCCATGAAAACCCCGTCATGTGTTGGTAGTGAAAAGTTACTACGGCTATACCCTACATCTCTTCGTCATCCATTTCCGGCATGTCTTCATCTTCATCCATCGGTTCGCCATCCAAGTCAGGGACATCGCAATCATCATCATTGTTATTAGGAGCATCCTCTGGCCACTCATCCTGGACCACCTCATTCTCATCCTCGGGCATGGGATGGGTCTTACCCTTTGACTTCGCCTTGGCTTTGGCCTTCCCCGAGGCCTTTGCTGCTGCCTTCTCAGCTTTGCGCTTTTCGGCAGCAACACCTCTGCAGTCAGGCAAGGCACAATGTGGTGGGGTGAGATTCTTCTAAGAAGATACCTTTACAGGGAAGTTGACTAAGTTATTGTTTTCTGGCATTGGCATCTATCTCCAATAGGAACCCTATTTCATGTCGAATCCAAAGATTTGGAGACCATTTGCTGAGTAACCGACGTCGGTCGTGGCTCTCTTTGATTCCCTCTGCCTCCTGAACTTGTTTGGCTGCATCCTGGCCAGAAAATTTGGGATCTTTGTTGAAAATGGCAACATGTCCTAGTTTTCAACTTCTTTGAATGGCCAAAGCCCTTCGGTTGAGCCTGGATGAACGGGTCATGCTTGGACAGGTTGTCTTCGCAGATATCAAACGAGACACTTCGGAAGATATCGTCGGAAATCCTGGGCACTGGGGATATAGTGGCTCACAGAAAAGCAAAAGTATCTGACAGCTGGTGGATATACTTAGGACTGTTTCGAGATCAATTTCTTAAAACAATTACTGTCACTGAATGTCGAAATACCAAGTGTCAGGTCCAAACTATATGTGGATAAAGAAAACTATAAGGGGCATAGATCGCGAAAGATTTTGATGTCTGACTAAAGATGATAATTCTGAACTTCAGGGATCACGACAAAACTATGATTCCAACTCTTTCGAGATCTTGTTGAGCTTGGAGTAAATGCCCTTCAGGTGGGCAATGGTCGCCTCGAATCAAGTGAAATGGTAAGAAATTATGGTTGCAACAAATTCCATATACATATATATATATATATATATGTACATGACAGATGTACATCTACATATATGCATATATATATATATATCTACATATATGCATATATATATATACAGATAACACCACTACCCAACATATGTATTATATACATCTGATCGAGAACTATCTCTACATTTTTCTTTAAATTGAGAGGAAGAACTCATGTGTTGTCTTTCCTTCGGTGGCCTCTTGGTGGTTGATGCCGCTGCTGGTGATTGCTTCAGCAGCCGCCCTAGCCTTTGAGGCCAGCTTGCCGACCCTCAGCGTCAAGAAGAATCAGACGAGATGCTGGTGGAGACGTGGTTTAATTTGTGGAAGGGTCATCGCAAAACCGTCTTTTCTTGTCGGAAACATAGAAACACCGCAAGGGCCGCAATGGGGTGTGGAAAAAAGTTCAAGTCAAACAATCGTGCTATGATGTGGATGACAAAGATTGAAATGACCAACCCATAAGACAGAAACTTCTGAAGCTTGTCGTCGAAATCCTTCTTCCTGATTTCCTCAGCCGACTTCACCTGCCAAGGACAAAGCTACACCGCTATCATTTAATCTGGATGGAGATGGACTGCATATGTGGGAAGGACATATTGAACCGTGGGTGAAGGGAGTGAAACAGAACCGGAATTTATACTTCCATGTATAACTGTTGGAATTTGTTGCTGAATAAAATCATGTAATTGCGCCCCATAGACCCCGCCTTCTTGGCTTTGGGAGGACCAACTTTTCCATTGCCTTTTCCCTTCTTGCCCTTGCCCATTATGGGAGGTGTTGTTTCAGCACCTTTTCCCCCACCCTTCGAAGCAAAATCGGCTCCACGAGCCAACACCCCATCAGCAACCGCGGCCATTGCCGCTTTGTTTTGTGGTACCTCACCTCTCGCACTGACACGGGTGGCTACCGACTGCCTGCTTCTGGTAACATCGGATGTCTCTGTGAACACCCAATATAGGCGAAGTTCGGGGTTGGAACCATCAATATCCTGAGGGTGTTGTCGCCCACCCTGTTTGGATATGATTTCGTTTTGAATAAACCGTTGCCCAGCTTCACCAGGAAACATTTGTCGAATATTCACAAGGGGCAATTCCTTCCACTGGGAATTCTCATCATGCTGGGCTGCATCAACGTATTCGGCTTCAATGGTGATTGAAGACATATTCTGGGGGTCCAACATAAATGCTCGGAGGAACTCGAACTTCGCTTTGGAGGTTTGGCACGACTGCCATTTCTGGATGAGCCCCGGCCGCAATCCTGGCAAAGGAGTCGGAGGAACGGGGTGTGTATGTTTGATATACATACATATATATTTATATATTCATGATTCAAGGATGCTCGTTTGTTTTTCGTTTTCAAACTTGAGAACCATCATGATAAACAAGTATTTCCAAAGCAGTGATAGTATATGGCCTCGCTGGGCCAGTCTGCGGCGCAGAGCCTCTCTCTGCCTTTTCCTCTCCTCGGGTGCAAGATCCTCAAAGCAGGTCATCGCCTGCAGTACCAAGGGAAACCATAAAGTCAAAGGTACACCAGAACCATTAAAAAAATGATAGTTTGGTCACTTGGGTCCAAACAAGGCAGTTGTATGACTTATCTGTTTTTTTCGAACATTGACACAGAATGGAATATATAGGTGTATATAAATTGTATAATCATAAAATATAAAAAATGCATTGTTTTACAGGATATTATTGCTGGCCTTGATGCGCTCCGCATCCTCGCCCGTCAACATCTTGACCTTTGCAGGTTAATGCGGAGGAATGGGAATGATAGTGCGACCTAATAAGGTGTTTTGTTTTTTTTTTGGGCCCCAACTCGTTTGACCCTTCCTCCGGAATGTTCTCCAAGTGGTTCCATGGACACGTCGCCAGAACCGTCGGACATAACGGTGGTACTCCGGCGCATTAAGGGGGGCCTCAATGCGACTTGAACGTGCTTTGAATTGAAATCAATTGGGTCAACAGCATATAATACCCCCAGCATCTGAAAGGAAACTTTGCGATAGGAAAGGTGGTCATGTTTTCCAACTATTGTGGACTAAACCCTTTGCACAAATTCACAACCATCCTGCAAAGTGTAAGGCCCTAACCTGGAAGATCTGTCAGAGTCTTCGCCTCTAAATCAGCCAGGGTATGGAAAACCATGTAAGATCGAAATGTTTGGGATCTATCTGGGATATGGCGTACCCAATCTAATTTATAGCTTCCACCACTGCCAGATATTTAATGATATGCAATATCTAAATATAAATATATGTATATACAAATATAAATAAATATATATATATATATTATATATACATAAATAAATAAATATATATATACATTTTATATCTATACATATATGTATATATATACATATTATATATATACATATTATATATATATATATTATATATATATATTTACATATTATGTATATATATACATATTATATATATACATAAATATATTATTTATGACATATTGCAATATCTATATATACACATATATATATATATATTATGGACAGGTCTTGGGGTTAACAGCCCGGCCAGAGCCATTCAAGGTTGAAGCAGTCTGCAACGACCTGGCCTTCAAGCTGCAGCTTCCTCTTGCATTCCGGCGTGATGCCAGTTTCCGAATCTGGGGCTGAAGTGGCTTCAGTGGCTGGGCTGGGCGAGGGTGACCCACTAGAAGCCCCTGGTGACGTTGACGTAGAACTGGCTTGGATGGAAAGATTGGATCCTGCATTTTTTCGCTCGTATTTTTTCCAATATTCCTTGTAGGCTTCGGTCTTGGGTTCTTCAGGGGACGACAGTTCTTTGGAACTAGGTGTAATTGCCGCCTTCTTCTCTGAAATCTCACGCTTTTTCAACCAGAGTTCGAACTTGATCAAATCCTCCTTGGGAAATTGACCAAACTTGTGGTCCTCCAAAGAATCCCAAAGGTCAGCCAAGTACTTGGGGAAGAATTCATGCTTGGAAGCAATCTTGATTGCATCGTTCATCATGTAGGGATTGGCCTTCTCCACCCATGCTTTCAAAGTGGAATCGAAATCATTCAGAATCTGCAAGTTTGATTTGCTGAAATCATCTTCAGTCATGACACCATAGCCACTTGACAAAGTCGGTGGCAGCTTGAAGTCATCATTGTCGGTGGCCTGGCAACTTTAAAACAATGTCACGATTTTATGGTTTCGGATGGCTTCCATTTTGATACATACAAAAGTTGAAAACACGTACGAACAATATTTCAGGAGTCATGCATAGCCATGCCCACCCAACCCGACCTTCTCCTGGTTCACCTTTCCCTTCTTACCCTTCCCCTTCTCCATGGTGATGTCGTCTTTGGTGGACTTGCCCTTCTCCATATTGTCGCCTTTCTTGCCGATGCCCTTCAAGCTGGAGTCGCCCATGTCGCCCTTCTTGCCCTTCCACATCTCCATGTCACCTTTGGTGGACTTGCCCTTTTCCATGTAACCCTTCTTACCTTTGCCCTTCTCCACGGTGAAGTCGATCTTGCCCATGTCAAAGTCGCCCTTCTTGCCCTTGCCCTTCTCCGCAGTGAAGTCGGTCTTGCCCATGTCAAAGTCGCCCTCGCCATTGTCCTTCTCCTCAATGATGTCGCCTTTGGTGGACTTGCCCTTCTCCATGTAGCCTTTCTTGCCCTTGCCCTTCTCCACGGTGAAGTCGCCTTTGGTGGACTTGCCCTTCTCGGTGTCCTTCTTGCCCTTGCCCTTCTCCACAGTGAAGTCGCCTTTGGTGGACTTGCCCTTCTCTGTGTCGCCCTTCTCCACGGTGAAGTCGGTCTTGCCCATGTCAAAGTCGCCCTTCTTGCCCTTGCCCTTCTCCTCGGTGAAGTCGGTCTTGCCCATGTCAAAGTCGCCCCCGCCATTGCCCTTCTCGAGATCCTCAATGATGTCGCCTTTGTTCGACTTGCCCTTCTCCATGTAGCCTTTCTTGCCCTTGCCCTTCTCCTCGGTGAAGTCGCCTTTGGTGGACTTGCCCTTCTCCGCGTCGCCCTTCTTGCCCTTGCCCTTCTCCACGGTGAAGTCGCCTTTGGTGGACTTGCCCTTCTCGGTGTCCTTCTTGCCCTTACCCTTCTCCGTGATGAAGCCGCTTGTGTCCATCTCGATGTCGCCCTGCTTGCCTTTCCCTTTCTCCAAGTAGAAGTCGCCCTTGGCGCATTTCCCCTTCTCGAAGCTTGTGTCACCCTTGGTCATGCTACCGAAGTCACCTTTGGCCTTGGACTTCCCCGGTTTGCCCTTACTGACTCCTTTGACAAAGTCTGCGACCTTTCCTTTTCCCTTCTCACCCTGGTTGTGACCACCATCGGGGCCCCAATGCTCAGGATGAGCACTAGCCATGGGTATGGATAGCTAAGAGCGGCACACAGCCTAACTAAAGTTTGCCTGTCAAGATGGCACAAGTCGGGGACAGGGGCTGACACGAAATGACACGAAAACATGTCCCATACCTTTCCGTTGACACGTTTTGACACGTTTTGACACGTTTGGTTTTCGGTTGAAAAAAATGATTTGTTGTATGATGACCCCATTAATGTCATGACACGTTTTGACACGTTCTGTTGTCGACACGTTTTGACACGAAAACATGTCCCATATACCTTTCAGTTGGCACGTTTTGACACGTTTTGACACGAAAACATGTCCCATACCTTTCCGTTGACACGTTTGACACGTTTTGACACGAAAACATGTCCCACACCTTTCCGTTGACACGTTTGACACGTTTTGACACGAAAACATGTCCCATACCTTTCCGTTGACACGTTTGACACGTTCTATCGATGATGACACGAAAAAACATGCTTTGTTGACACGCCAGCGTTGAGATCCCCATTCAGTTGCTGGCATTTGCCATTTTGTACATCCTCCACATGTTGAAGTGGACCGTCATGATCAGCTGGAACCACCATCCCACGCCCATAGAAACTTGATTTAAAATGTGTGTGTGTGTTGCAAGTATCGACCCCTATATAGTCTGGGAAGGCCATCTGAAACCTTTTTTTTCTCGAAAGAATTGCTTTATCAGGGCCTGGGATTTGGGTTCCAGATCTACCCGGTGAAAATAGACTCCAGGCCGCTGTCGCTAGAATCTTCTCCAAAATCTTGAAAAGCCATCCCCTGGTCAGGAATGGGAGCCTTAGCAGCTGCTGGGATGGCATCCATATGCTTGCGCATTGCCTCTCCAACCTTGGATGGAAACCAGTGGCTTGGTTCTTGAGGCGGGTAACCCATGGTATAATCATTTATCCCCTTAAACAATCTCCATATATGGATCATGGTATGAGGGAAATAGGCATTGGCCACTTTATACACATGGATTTTCCTGTTGCAAGAAGATTATCTCTTTCAGGGAAAATTTACGTACATCCTGAATACCTTGAGCCACCCGGCAAATCATGGATATACATACTTACTTTGGGTTCCTTGATAAATTTAAACTGGGGATCAGGTTCTGCGGAGCCCATTTCTCAATCCCCACCTATTTTGGGGGTGGAGTGACTACTTTTTTTTTTGCAGCAAGTGATTGCCCTGGTGCCAGAGCCTTGAAAAACTACCTTGCATGGTCTTGAATCCCAATCCTTGAGTATACCATTATATAGGCGTGTCTCAAAGTTGACTTTTATAGGGTGCCCAAAACCTTTGAAATATGGTCTTTCTTAATAGGTTTCAAGTTTGAGATACGCCTATATTTCTCAAAATGGAAATGTGCTTCAAATATGCTGAGATCGTCATCAATGCTGGCTTGGGGCCCCTAGCCAAAGAGAGATATATATATATATACATACATACATACATACACACATACATACATACATACATATATATATATACATATTTTTTTTGCCAAGGAACAGCCAAACCCAGCCGCCCTGGGTAGATCTGGGTAGATCGTAAGTGTTTTCCCCCAGCCTCAAGGAGCGGTTATTTGGTAGGATTGATTGAAGTGCTCAAGCACAACCATGGTGTTGTAAAGCAGTCTTTTGGGATAGCCTTTTTAATTGAATCTTTAATTGCATTATGTAAAATTTGACCGCTGAGGGTCCTACAACCCGGGTTTTGCCACCAGAGTCCCGGTAAACACGGGCCGTCTCCAGCTTGAGGAATGACCGAATGCGCTTGAGCTGTTGCCTGCATTGGCCGCTCGGATCCGGTGGGGCCGTAGATTACTTGGACCTGTTGTGTGGCAGCTGGGTTGAATCACCGCCCTGTTTTTTTACCTATATATTCATCAAAGACCATTAGTGACAACACAAGAGTAAAACAACAACCCCACAGTGCCTTTTCAACTTGGATACTGAAACCTCCACCAGCTCGTCCAAGAATGGGGCAGTTCCACAAAGCGTTACCTAAGTAGCACTAGTTCACCAGGGATCTGACTTGAAATCTTTTCTGGCTAAGGTAATAAACCTTTCTATTTGCAGTTGGGAAACCGGTTTTAAAGTAGCTGCGTTGTAGCTTCCAAGATTGCAGTTGCCCATGCGAGCATTGTGCCGGCGCAGCAGGTTCTTAGGATTGAAAAACAAACTTGGGTTTGAAGCTAGACAGAACGAGCTGACTGGATCGCAAGATGTATTCATGACAAGATGATGCTGTGTATAGATGAATATAGAAGATGATAGCTGCATAGATGGGTAGATCATAGATGGACAGAGGGATAGACTGATAGAGGATGATAGATGTATAGGTGAAAAAAGGGATGGATGGATAGAGGGAAAGATGTTTAGATGGCTAGATGGAGATATGAGGATAGATGATGACAGGTGATGACGGATGATGATAGATGTATAGGTGGATCAATCGACAGATGGATGTATAGATGGAGAAAGGTGGATAGATTGGTAGATGGATAGATGATGATACACGATGAAATATAGATGGCAAAATTGGTAGATGATGATAGATCTACACTACCGACGGAGAAGAAAGGTCGATAGATGGATAGATGGTTAGTTAGATAGACAGAAAGACGGATAGATGGATAGATGGATAGAAAAAAAAGATAGATATAGAGATGGATAGATAGGTAGATAGTTCCTGGAGAGTATTTGAACAGATTCAGTCATATATACCTTTAGGTATATATATATACAGATCAATATGTATCTCTGGGGTTTTAATTTAGATATACGTATGGGCCCACACCGAGATTATGAATACATAGATAAACTAAATGAAATTATATCATAGGCGTACTACATTGTGAAAAGCGCATGGGGCCACATAATAATGGCAAGACTCTTTAACCGGCTTGTATTGCCACAGCAAAGACGACAACGGCTGCTCGATTATGTAGAAAATCTTGTTCTGGTAGCAAAGTTCCAACCTGGGAAGTTCATTTCTTTGGGGAATATGAAAAATCAAGACGACTTGGGAAGCCCTGCAGTGGTATTTGGTTGCTAAGAACCTGACAGGTAACACAGCCGTCTTGCCAACCTGTTGCCCACCCTGGTTGACCTCAGCCTTGCATCCTTCCATCCTTGAGGACGAAGAAAAGTACGTCTTGTAGACCCCATCGCCCTAAGCGCACTGGGATTTCAATAAGGTATGGTAAAACTGGTATACGAGGTGTCCCAGCAATTGTCAACATGGTTTTCTGAAAAATAAACCAAGATACATAAACACCCAGCTGGAGCAGGGAATAGCAAACCATGCGCATGCGGACTGCTTTAAGTGCCGGATCTTAGCTGGAACGGAATTTCAAAAATTTCAACCAACCGAGAGGTTCCAAAAGAAGCGAAACAAAAATCAACTTTTCAATGCAGCCAGAGAAGCGTAGTTTACGCACAAGAGAAACCCGAATGTACTCAGAAGGTCCATCTTTCTCGTGTAGTTGATCTTAGTTGCACAATGGTAAATAACCGAAAACCACCCCCAAAATGTCTTGCACATCAAGGTATTTTTGGGAATAGACTTTCTTGGATCCCCTATCATTGTATCACACTTGGAGAGATTCAGTCAGGTAGCATCGAAAGCACGGCTTGACATGCCTTCCAGCTGTACGCCGCTGTGAAGGATGTGCGCTCCTGTGCCAGAGCGCAGATCTTAAGATTGCAAAACTAGCTAAAAGGCGGCGAGGTATATTCAGAGGCTCTACGCCAAAAGAACTTGGTGTATGTAAAGAAGTGTCTAGTAAAGGGCCCTATACAACAGCACTCCTGCGCACACTTCCAGAAAGTCCGCGGACTGACGATGGTCAGCCTCATCCAAGCCTGGGATGGGAATGTGGCCCAGCCAAAAACAATACTGGTTTTGCAATGAAAACATATCATTTTGTTTGATTGTTATTGTTTGATATTACTGGTGATTTTGATTAGCCCCAACATTAGGCGTTGATAAAAGAATATGGTTGCTTGCTTGGAAATTGCACCCAAATCAGTAGGAACACAACTTTGTTTGTTTTTCAATTGACGAATTAATTTATCCAAGAAACTTTTAACCAAAACGGTCAAAATCAGTGCCAGCTGGGTGTACCGCATTGGTCCGACACCGGAGTATTGTATATCTATATGTCTATATATATTTATACGACCCAGTACTTGTGCCAGGGCTTTGAACCAGCTTGATTGATCCAAGGATTGTTGATGCACTATCAGATTTGCCACATTGCCAAAATCAAGAAGGACAGCTGCCGTGTGGGAAAGGTCGGTGAAAGAAATCACTGCAAATATAACAATCTGACTGTAGAATCTGACTCGGTCATTTTGTCAGACATGTACCCCCATGTAGATCTTGTTGGATTCGTCGTCCAACTAAAGAATTAAGCCAATACACGTGTGAGTATCGTCACACGCGCAATCATGGCATGAGCCAAAGTCCCCAATTTTTTGGGAAAACCTACGTTTGGTAAAAGGTGGCAAAATGCCACTCTAGCTGTAGCGCCGGCGTTTCTTCTCACTTTCGGGAAGGGCTTCCACAATTGCTGCACGTTCTTCACTGTCTTTCCACCTGCAAAAAACATGGGATCCGATGCATTTTGATTTTCCTTTTTGGGGAAAGCAAATGTAGGTTCTCAACAAACTTGGGAAATCAAATTCCTAAGCCACCGAGTTCCCTTCCATATTCTATTTTGGGGGAAGGGCATGTGTGAAAAAACTGCCTTTGCTCGCGCTCTTTCAAAGGCATGCGGCCATGATCTTCCAGCAACCTCGGGATTTACCCCATATGGTGGATGATGAGCCCATCATAAGAAGATAGATACACCAAATTGGATCAAACAAACATATTCTGGACTAGGGACTGGTCCATAAACTTCATCTTTGCAAGAGCATAGGGGGTTTTCTCCTTCGAATCATCCCCTGCAGCAGGTCCTTTTGTAGGTTTCTTTCCCTTCGGTTTTG